TTGAACTGCCAGCCTTCTGGTTAGCAGTCAAATGCCTTAGGCACTATGCCACCAGAGCTCCCATAGGACAGAGTAGAACTGCCCAATAGGGCTTCAAAGGCTCTGATCTTCATGGTAGCAGACTACCACATCTTTCTCCCACAGAACAGCTAGTGGGCTTGAACTGCCAACCTTTCAGTTAGCACTCTAGTGCTTAACCACTGCACCACCATGGCTCCTTCTGATTTACATAGCCACATATATATATAACTTTGCTGCATTTTCTTAATATGAAAAGGCAGAGAAACATGATTTTGGATGCTATGCCTTTCTTTTGCACAGTCTAGTTGACTTGGTCCAAGAGAATTCATAGAACTAATGATTTGCCCTGAAGCAGTGGTTAACAGCACAGGCTTCTTTACAAAACATCTCTGAGGTTCAATTTCCTGATTTCTAAAATAGAGATTAAATGAGGTAATGTGTGCAGAGTGCCTAGCCCAGGACCTCACATATAAGTGGTAATTCTTAGAGCTATTAGGATTTGGGAGCTGAGGGAGGCTTTATTCATCTAAACCAAGTTCTAGCAGTGTCTGAAGAAACTGAAATGCTCAGAGGTGAAGTGATGTGCCCAGTTGGGACCCGAAGCCATGGTTCCTGCTTTGCCACCCAGTGTACTTTCTACCTCCTCTCTACCTCCCAGTTCATAAGAAGCCCTTAGGCATGCATCATCAAATCCTGGCTTTGGAAAGCATCAGCCTGACCCCATGACCAACCAGCCTTTCAGTCTTCCTTTTACTGTTCCTCCAGTTCTGTCTATAGATAGGCCATCTAGCAACTCTGCCCTGAGAATTCAGCTAGAGGGAGGAAGTGCTAGTTCCAGGGAAGAGCAGCAAGTTGGGGGTGGCTTTGCCTGTCGTCCCAGGTTTCCATTCTGGATCCAGCTGGGGTGGGTGGTGACAGCAGGATGGGTCTTAGCGTGGTTGAGAGAAAATAACCCTTCCTCCATTCACCTTCCCCACTCCTCCACAGCTGCCAGGCTGAAGAGGGGAGGTGAGTTGATAATGTTTTTTTGGTTCTTGTCCTCTTTTGAAGAGAAGCCTGCCAATATCCCAGGAAAGGCTTGAGCTATGAAAATTAAGGAACCCAAAGGAGTTGTTTATGATTTTAGGTGGACATTAAGATGCCTATGGGAGAGCTCTAGACCTGGGAAAGACAAAAGGAGTATGTTTAGTACCTCCACACTACATTGGTCTCCTGGTAGCTAGCTCCTTGTAACTGTTTAAATCATGTGTTGGCATTTGGGGCACAAAATGAGCTTTGGAGCCCGGGAAATGAGGGTAGCGTTGGGAAGCATGACAAGGGTATATCTAGAGAGGGAAGACATTTTGCATACCTGGGCTTGGGCCTGTAGAATTTAAGGGTGCGCTGCCAGAGCAGACCTCGGTTGGGGTAATGATCACTGAAGCTTTGCTGAAGACAGCAGAACTATACCCACTCCACTTCTATGAACTGGATGGGTGATGGCTGGGAGGCAGGGGAAGTGAAAATGAATCACAGTAACCATGTGAGACCTTGGGTTATCTCATACCCTAGGGGAAAAAAAAGACAGTAAAATTGCTCAAGCAAAAAATATGGGCAAATTCTCAGAAGCCCTAGGGCCGGATCAAAGGAGAAATCCCCTTCTAACTCCTTAGTAACCATTCTCATTCCAATCCACACTAAAGCTGTAAATAATGCTAAGCAACAGTGGGACCCAGGGGCCAAGTCCCTCTTCATTCCAGTCTTGCCTCTGAAATCCATACCATTAGTTTCCTAACCCCCTGTACTTTCAGCTAGGTTGATCTGTGGGAGAAACAGAAACATACTTTGGAACAAGGGTTTGATTATTATTACGTTGAATTATGTGATGTTGTTATAATTTGACCACTTCTGACCTACAAAAACATCTATTTTGCATCAACTTAGTAGTATTATTTAAAGGAATCATAATAGCTACCATTTATTGAGCAATTAGATTGTACCAGAAACTTTATGCTTATCATGTTGTTTATTCTTTCCACACAATCCATATAGGTAGATATTATTATCCTGATTTTTCAGATGAAGGAGCTGAGCCAAGAAAAGATTCCATAACTTACCCAACACCAGACCGTTAGCAAGTATAGAGCCTTGGCTCGTTTTCTTGATGGCATTGGCTTATCCTATAGAGTCATTAGGAGCTCTGGTAGCATAGTGCCTAGGCACTTGACTGCTAACCAGAAGGCTGGTGCTTCAAACCCACCAGCCACTCCTCGGAAGGAAGGTTGGGCAATCTACTTCCCTCGTGATACCGCCTCAGAAACCCAAGGAGGGGTCGCTAGGAGTCGGGTCCGACTGGAAGGCACATAACAACAACAACATAGAGTCATTAGCTACCATCAAGTCGACCTCCAACACAGGATGACCCCATGCACAACTGAATTGGACTATTGTGATCCATAGATATACTCTATAACTATAGAGTTTTCATCATCAGATTTTTCAGAAGTAGACCACCAGGCCTTTCTTCTTAGTCTCTAAATCTGGAAACTCCACTAAAACCTGTTCAGCATCATAGCAATACAAAAACTTTCCCTTGTAAACCAATGATGGCTGCACTGTGGTGCATCATACAGGAATTGAGGCTGGGAATCAAATCCTGGTCTCTCACATGGAAGGTGAGAATTGGTGAACCACCAATGCCCTTCATCCTATAGAGTAGGATATAAAAATATACTTTGGACTCTGACATACAAGGGTTTGAATCCTAGGTTCATTGTTATCTGTGTCCCCAGGTAGGTTTGTAAACATTTTAATCCTTAGTTTTATTATGGGTAAAGAAGAGTAAGAATAAAAAGTATGTCACAGCTTTGTTGTGAGGACTAAATAAAATAATGCCTGTAAAACTCCATGTTAAGGTGCCTGAAACAAGGTAAGTGCTTAAATAGTAGCTACTGTCGTCGTAATTTTTGCCTCTTCATGAGCACATAATGGAAAGGGCTCTTGCTCCTCATCTTTCCTTTGTCCTTTTTTAGAGTGAATCCTTTCCTCTGTGCTTCTTCCAGACCAACTCCTCTCTTCTGTGTTTGAATTCATCCTGGGGAACAGTGGAAAATGGAGAGTCAATGGGAAATCAGGCTCTGGGCCTGTAGCCCTAGGTGGGGGGGAGGCTGACTCACTGAGAGCTAGCCCCATCCTCACCCTGATTCCAGCTGATTCCAGTTCTAGGGTGATTTCATTAAGGGAGGGGACTGTCCAGCTAATTCTTCTCCACCATCTCCCAGGGAATCTTGCTGCTGTTTTCTTTGCTCCTCCAAACCCACCCTCCAGTCAGTTCTGCTGTTCCTGGAACTCGGAACTCGGGGACCTTTGTTCACTCAGGGGTATCTGGCTTTCTAGTATCCCATCCCTCTATGCAGTTTTATTTCCTGATACGGGGGTCCTGCTGTGTCCACCTGGCCCTGAACCCTCTTTTTGGCCTGCCGCAACCCAGGAGACACACACAGAGCTCCCGTCCATGCCTTTAGTCCTTCTCCAGACCAGAGCTCTCTACCTCCCCACGCTCCCACCTATGCGTGGCCCTCGTCTCAACCCTCCAGGGCACTATACCTACTCTATCCCTCGGGGTCTCCTCGGGTACTGGCCCAGTCACCCCAGAAGAACCCTCCTGCCCCGCCCCCAGGAGAGCGCCTGCTCCAAACCGGATGACATTCTAGACATCCCTTTGGACGACCCCGGTGCCAATGCCGCCGCGGCCAAAATCCAGGCGAGTTTCCGGGGCCACATGGCGCGGAAGAAGATAAAGAGCGGAGAGCGCGGCCGTAAGGGCCCGGGCCCCGGGGGACCAGGCGGAGCTGGGGGCGCCCGGGGAGGCGCGGGCGGCTGCCCCAGCGGAGATTAGGCCAGGTGAGGCGGGGCGCGACGGACCTGGAGGTTCTCAGTTCCAAACACCCGGGACCCGCCGAGGGCGGCCCCTTCTCAAGGGACGACTAAGGGTGGTTTGGCGGGGTGCAGGTGGGATGTGGGGCAAATAAGGGTGGGGGCTAGAAATCCCAGTCGCGAGGTGGATAAGTGGGAGGAGGCTGAGGGTACTACAGGTTCCAAGAATTCACTCGTTTCTCTCTCTCCAACCCCACCTTTCTGCCCACCTGGACTGAAGAAGAACTGAGCATTTTCGAAGGTAAAGAAAATAACCCCGAAGTGGCGGGGTGGGAGCCCTGAGTAAGAGAAAAGGACCACATCCCCCAGCCTCTTCCCTCAGCCTGCCCTCGCCCCCTCCCAGCTTGGGAAAATGTACCCGGAGCCCACGGGTTCTGTGACAAACCGAGACGCCTGAGGCTGTGACCGGGACACACACCTGGACTGACAAAAATGCGCAGTCACGCCCATTTGGCTGCACAAACCCGGCCGAGGGCCACAAATACACCGCGGCGTACACACGTACCTGCCCCGCGGTTCATTTCAGCTCAGTGACTCGGGTGGGGAGTTCTGGGTGACGGGATCCTCAGGCACTGCCTGCCCTGGTGTCCTGGTTCAGAAAAGGAGAAAGGGGTGGAGAAGAGGCGGTACAGGGAGAGGGCAGATTCTCAGACCTTCTGTCTCCTCAGTTCCCGAGGAGAGATGGATGCCGCATCCCCTTCGCAGTGACGAGACTTCCCTGCCGTGTTTGTGATCCCCTCCTTCCCACCAACCCGCCAGCTTCAGGAGCCCCCCTGCGTCCCCACAGACTCTTCCTAGGCAAGCTCCGCCGCGGAGTCGCCAAGTCTGAGCCCTTTTCGTTCTCCCGTCTAGTATGGTCCCCATTCGCTCTTCCTCCCCCCCCAAGGCCCTATCCCAGCCCTCCCAAATCTTTCTCTTGCCCCCTGTCCACCTATCCCGGCGCCCAGCATGCAGCTTTGCCTCCGCAGGCTCTGTGCGCTTCCCTGCGCGCACTGCGGAGGGCGCCCTAAACGCCGCCGAAGTATGCTCACTTAAAAAAAAAAAAAAAATCCTCTGGTTCAATGTGCAGCTAAAAGGGGCGCTCTGCTGCTCTGTGCTGTTTGAGCCCCAACCCAGCCCCAGAGATTTGGATCTGGGATGTGGAAAGAAGAGAAGAGAGTTTTTATGGTGTCTGATACCTCCTGCTCTGATCGGAAGGGAAGTTCCTATTTCACACCCCAATCTCAAGCCTGCCTGTAATCAGCCCTCCCCTCTTTCCAGCACACCCAGAAAGCAACCTCTGCAGCTCTTTTGTAAATGCAAACGCCCAGCGAGGGGAGGCTCCATAGGAGGAGTCTGCTGCGGCCCCGCCCCTGCCCCTACTGGCCCCGCCCCCGCAGGGCTCCTGGGGCTGTGGCCGGAAGGTTTTTAATCTGTGTGTGTGTGCATGTGACTGTGCTAGGTTGGAATGTGAACAATAAAGAGGAATGTCCAAGTGTTCACAGGGTACCAGGTGGGAGGGAATTTGGGTGCACAAAGCCAGTCCTTGAGTAAGTCTTGTCTGACTAGACCAAAAACTGCAGTGGGGTGGGGAAGCTGGGCACCCAGGTATAAACTTTTTGGCCACTTTGACACAATGAAACTTCCTGCCTACAGCATCATCTCTTGGACTTCAAGCCCTTTCTTTCCCTTACTGGTAATACTTTTCGGTGCCTAGAGGAATTCAATACACCTGCAGAAAGAAGAGGGAGACAGTATGGTATCCAAAGGCTTTAATTATTGGCATTTCCCCTCATTCTCTAGGGATCAGGAGGGAAGTCAGACAACCATAGGGAACTTGGACTTGGTGGTTGTCACAGTGCTGGCAGAGGAGGGCGTTTCCAGGAGCCCATTGCTAGAATCGTCCCTCACAGAAGTCTGCTCAGAAATCCCAGGAGCGATGGCATCCTCCCTGATGAATAAAGGCAAATTCTTAGTGAAAACCAGAGCATCCCTCAAGGAGCCCCATCCTCTAACCCAGGGGCTTTCAAATCTCTGTGCATGAGAATCATCTGTGGCTCTTGGTTAAAAATGATTCTAGAGCCCTGTTAACCCCAAACCACACACATACACCCCAACCTGGGAACTAACCTCTTCACCCTGCGCTCCTTGCTCACACACTCATATACATAGGCCATACTGCTTCCCCTTCACCAAATGGCAGGGCTGAGAGCATTCTCTACCCCTACACATTCCTAAGACCTCTGCATTTGAGGGCTGAAGGCATCAACTTAATCCAAGGCCTTTCATATCTTTCTGCATTCCTCACCCCTCCAGCTCACCGAAGTTCACTACCCCCATATGTCTCCTTGGGTCTCTTCCTCCTCTCCTTCTGGAGTCTGACCAGGCAAAATGCAGCAACTGACAGGAGCAGTACACCTAGGAGTATCCCGATTAAGGCCCCAGCCACTCGGCCTTTGGAGGGATCTAGGGAGAGAAAGGACTCTCAGAACAGCAGGTCTTCCTTGCCCCCTCCTCAAACAGCTTCATACAGCCTTCCCTGGTAACCTGGCTTCTGCCCACAATTCCCTACCAGTCACAGAGAGGGTCAGCTCACAGGATGCACTGCCTAGCTGATTGGTGGCCACACAACGATAGGTACCGGAGGAGGTCAAGGAGAGATTGGTAAGAATGAGTTGTCCAGATACTTCATCTAGAGGGTGAAAAGGAAGTGTTCTGTCACTCATTCTAATGAACAGTGAACACCTACTATGAGTAAAACATAGTTCTTTTAATTCTTAAAGCCATTCTACCAGGAAGTGGTTAACCTCATTTTATTGATGGGGAAATTGGCTCAGAGAAAGGAAGTAATTTGTTGGAGGTGACCCAAACAGTCCCAAAGCCACTGCAACCTCTGTGCTTTTTCCACCCTATACCACATGGAGCGGGGGGTAGTTCTGTACACACAAGAGGGGTTGAGAAATTTGCATTGGTTTTGAGGTGGGTGCTTACTGGCCAATATCGGGTTCTTAGTTGGGAGTAAAAGGCTCAATTGCTAGCAAATGCATCCCCTAAACTGACTTAAATACTAAATCCTTACCTTTGCTTTAGTAGGCAGAGCACAAGGCTTGGGGGAGAAGGGAAATGGGAGTGTCCTGGGTTGATAAAGGGATTTGCTGGAGCTGAGGCTGAGGGACAAGACAGGGCAACTGGAACCAGCTTGAGAAAGCTGAGAAGCCAAGGCTTTTAGCTAGTTACATGTTTCCTTAAAGAAACTGGTGAAATGAATAAAACTAGTCCATGCTACTGCCTCAGGTTCCCTTCCAGGAACTCTGGAAAAGATTCATGACCCTAAGGAATCTAAAAGAAATCCCCCAGAAGCAGACTAGTGGTAATCATCCAAATGCTCCCTGCCCTCCACTCTCCCAAGATGTCAAGAAAACATTTAGGTTGAGAAATGCTCCCCGATCGCCCAGCCGGAGAGTGTGGGGAAGAGAATAATGAAGTCACTGAAGAGGCAGGGAAAGGGTTTGTCTCATAACCTGAATCAAAGAACTATGTGTGTGTGGGGTTTAGAGGCCAGATTTGCTCAGATCATAAGTCCCCTGGGCCCTTACCTTGCACCATGCTCCCAGGAGAAGGTGTAGGAGAAGATCCAAGATGAACCCAGTTGTATACTGGCCTGGGCGCTCCCTTGGAAGAGCTACATCTCAGTGCAGCAGAGCCTCCCACAGAGGTTTGACCACTCTGAGTGCACAAGGGGCTACTGGGGGGCACTGTAATGAGAATCACAGAAAGTACCTTAGCAGTCTTCTAACCCAGTCCTCATGAAGTGCTGGAATTACTACTTCAATATTCCTACCAAATAGAGTTCCACTTCTGTTCAGATGGGCATCCCTAGGTTGCACAGTGTTTGGCTGGTAAAAGGAAGGTTGGAGGTTCAAGTCCAAGTCTACTCTGAGGCATCTCAAAAACAAGCAATCTATTTAAAAAAAAATCAGCCACTAGAAATCCTATGGAGCACAGTTCTGACGCATATGGAGTCTCCATGAATATAGCAACTGGATTTTTTTTTTTTTTTGGTTTCCTGTCCAGATACCACTGTATCCCCAGGAAGTGATTTCCACTATTGGAAATTCTGACTGTCATAAAATTCTTCCTCATGTTGAGCCAAAATCTGTGTTGATATAATATCTGCCCAATGGTCCCAGTTCCTGCTCTCTGTGCCCACAAAGAAATTAAAATGTCCATCACATGAGAGTCCTTCAGATATTTGAATACAGCTGTCATACACTACCTCCTTGCTCAACTCTAAGCAGGCTGTAGTTTGAAGTTAATGGAAGCTCTAAACTCAAAGTCAAGGCTCAGTAAAGGAGATGCCAAAAAATGGATATGGAGTCCATGTTCCTTTACCGGCCATTCCCTTTCTTTGCCATGTACCTTGAGAGGGAAACAATCTGAGCTTTGAATGGGCACTTACTTCCCTGTGGACATGGATGGAGCTGTTAGAGGTAGATTTTTCTCTCTCAGACCCTTCGTTACCAGGGCCTGAGGGTGGAGGCACTCTCTGTACATGATATAATTGACCATCTAGATAAGATTTGGGGTCGGGGCATTTTCCACTGGAGTCCCTGGTGAAATTGTATGCTTGGCCTTGGAGTCAGGATGTGAGGAGATTTACTGGGCCAGAGCAGTCTTTCAGAGTATGTGGGTAGCTAGTGTATCTCCAGCCGGCCTTACCCAGCACAGTAAAGTTGATTAACCCCAGCCCATTGGTGTAAAAATCTGGTGGGTTGTTAACTTGGCAGAGGTAGGTTCCAGTATCTGAGGGGTGGACATCACTCAGTCTCAGGGTGGCCACTCCTCTTGTGGGGGGGCTCTGAAGAAGACTGGCCCGCTTTGCCATAGAACCAATTGGATACAGATGACCATTGGTGAAGTACAGGATCTGGGAAGAGGCAAATGATATATGTGTGTGCCTTTTCTTGGCATCAGCTCTATCTATAATCCTTACTCACAAAGGTTTAAGTATAGGAGGTCCAGAGAAGCTGATATCCTATAGCAAAAACCATGAAGGTCTATCAGTCCCCAAACAGCATCCTCTTTCAGATGCTACATGAGCTAAATTCACTACTTTCAGCTGAGCATGGATTTCTCTATGTGAACATAATAATCCTGGAAAGGACTGCATATTGTCACATTAACTGAAATTGGGACTGCACTAACATAGAACCTATGGGAGAAGAATGATACAGGATCAAGTAGACTGAAACTCTGAGAAGATCTAGGAAAAGTCCACTTACCTTTCATCCAAGCATGCTGATCCCCAAACACACCCTCCTGGCCTTGGGTGGTTCTCCAGAGTGCAGCTTTCCTGAATTCCCAAGGCAACCCCTCTAACAGGTGGGAGAAGTCCCGCCCCCCCCCCGCCCCCACCGCGTGGCGCTCTCTGCTCACAGGATGAGAGGTAGAAATGGGTTTCCCAGGCTGCACAAAGCTCCACTCCAGGGCGAAGTTGTCTCCCACCGAAGTGCTGTAACTGCAAGTTAGCTCAGCCGTGTTGCCCACGGGCGCACTCAGCGGCTCAGCGGGCACCTTCACCTCCACTGCCAGCCCCGGGGCTGGGGACCAAGAGGTAGACTGACGAGAGGAAGCTCTCAGACGATGCCCGGGAAAGGGGCTGGGGTAGGAGTGGAGACCAGACCCAGATCCTAGTGATCGTAGGATTTCAACCCATTCTGTTGCTTCCACAACGCAGGCTGGGGGTCCCGCCCCCAGAGTGCAACCCTCTGCCCTGAATTCCTCCTCCCTTCTCAAAACCTGATTTTTCCGGGAGGGAGGAGCCTGGCCAGGTTTTTGTGGGTGAAAGGACCGAGACAGAGCCAGGTATGAGGGTGTGTTTGTGAGGGCCTAGAAAACAGTGGTGGTTAACCCTGGGCTCTGAGAGGCCATATCTGCCGGCCAGCTCTGGTGCCTCTCTCGCCCTGGCTCTCCCCCACCGCCACCACCACCCCCGGACCCCTGTACCCTGGCGGAGACTGAGTAGGCTCAAGGGCCTCAGCTCACAGCTCTCACCGTGGTTCCACCCCATGCCCTCTCCTCACCACTTGTGTAGACGAAGCCCAGCAGAGCCCAGCAGAGGAAAGGTCCAGGGAACCAGGCCATGGCCCAGAGAGACTTCTTGTCCTGAGGTCTGTTGGTTCGTTGCCCTGCCTGGGTCTAGGAATGGGAAGACAGCGCCAAAGGGCAGCTGCCTCGTGCTGGTCAGGAGCAGAGACTGGCTATCTCAGAGCAAACAAGGGGAGAGGCTGGCACCCTCAGGTAAGGAAATGCTCCTCCCTCTTTAAGGCTCAGTTCTGAACTCACTCTAATCTTCCTTCCTTCCTCTTTCCCCCAATTTCTGAAGCTGTCAGGCCCTGGAAAAAGGGCTGGACCTGAGGTGGGCACCTTAAGGAGATAAGATCAGAACTGGAACTCTGGAAGGAAAGTGACTCTGAGGAAGAGGGAGGCATACTCTAGGTCTAGCAGAAAGGACACCAAGTTCATCCCCTTGCTGTTCAGAGTGCCCTAAGGAGACAGGCCTAGCAATCTGCTTCCGAAAAGTCACACACAGCCTTGAAAACCCTGTGGAGAAGTACTATTCTGAACACAGAGGGGGTGGCCATGAGTCAGAACTGACTGGACGGCAATTGATAACAACAATAGACTTTGTTTCTCCATCTCTCTACCCAACAGCAAATGACCCCTTTAAAGCCACTAGAGCAATCCTGAGCTAGTTAGCACTGAGACTGAGTGGTGAAGCCCTCCTCCAGGGCTGGGTGCACCGCCTGGGTAGATGCCCATTTTGCATCATCCTTAATCTCAATTTCTGGGAATCCCAAGCTTGAAAAGGCAATTTGACTCTCACTTTCCATACAAGCAGAGTTTATTGATGTTTACAAAAACAAAAACACATTTCAAGCTAGCTTTTTAAAATATCCTCCCTATCCCCTGCCCCAGCAAAAACCCAATTAAGCCAGCAGGACAGTTTATATTAATGCAGGGAGCTGGAGTGAGGGGAGAGGTAGGGGTAGAGGACAGCCCAGGGGAGCCTAGAGGAGTCATTAATTAGCAATCCCCACCAGGGCCTAGGAAGTAGTCAATTTCATCACCATTCAACTGCAATCATTGGTGGAGTGTGGGAGAGAGTGGAGGCTCTTCCTAATCCCAGGTCCACTGCCTCTTCTTTTACCTCCTAAGAGTTAGAGTCTTACTGAGTCTCACTTTTCCCATAAAGAAAGGTGGGGGCAGGGGATCTGGGTCTGGAATGTGTCATCACCCTCCCAAGAGTCAGGCCTCCATGCTAGGAATGACCCTTATATAGGAAGGAGATAACCAGATGACTTAGCTAATGAGTGGCTAAGCCATCACACCAGAGACCCAGCCTGACTCTGGGCAGGCACCATAACAGGAACAGCACCCATACGGCTCAGGGCAGAGGAAGCAACTCCACCAGGGCTGGGTGATACTGGTTGAGAATGGGCCTCATCTGTCCTGGGCAGTCGTGGTGAGGGAAGGGCCTGACTTGACAGGCTAGGCGTGGGGGTCAAAGCGCCAGGCCTGGGAGGGCCTTGGGGTGGCCGGAGGGCTCGTGCTGAGGTGACAGAGGAAAGGGTTCCATTCTTGGAAATTGTGTCTGAGCCTTTTGGCCAGGGCAGGGTCCGGGGAGCAATGGCATCCTCCCTAATCATCAAAGAAGTAATAAGAGGTCAGAAGGTACGGGCTACTACATGCTTAATCTTACCCACCCACTACTCACCCTTCTGCCCCACTTCAACCCTCCTCTCCCTCTTCTGTAAAATCTTCCCAGAGGAATTAAGTTGAAATCTTTCCATTAGGAGTTGCCTGAATTCCCAAGCTCTGTAAGGGGAGCTAGGAGAACTCTCATCTTGGCAAAGACCAGGAACACTTACTTGATATCATTGGCTGGCTCCTCTAGAGCCTTGCTCCAGCGGTGGTACAAGAGGACCAGCCCAGCCAGCAGCCCCAATCCAACTAGAGTACCCACAACAGCTCCAGTAATCACTGCAGGCCCAGGCCCTGGAAAAGCCTTGATGTCAGAGAGAACACCTAGCTGTTCTCCACCCCTCTCCAGTCCCAGCAAACATTCTCTGTCTTCCCTGTTAGATAAGGGGCAACTGTCAATCAGAAAATCGTCTTTTGTAAACATTTGAACAAGCTCCCTGTCCTGTTACAACCAGTGGGCTCAGCAAATAGGTTGCCCCCCTTCTCTTGCAGCACCATCCCCCACCACCATTGACCATACTTCTTAACCACACTTACCCCTCACTGACCTGTGCTCACTTCCAGGGTCACATTGCACTGGGCACTGCCTGCCTCGTTGTGAGCCTTGCACACATAGACTCCAGACATGGAAGAGGACAGGTTTCTGAGGCTTAAGGACCCACGGATGTCATCTGTGGACACAATGTAGCTCTCAGGCCAGAGACCATCTTTCTCACCAAAAAAAATCCTGCTTCTCCTCTAAAAGGTCCTCTTCAACCTCCCTGGGAGACTCAGTTTGTCTGTTCCTTGATGGAGGGATTGGGTGTAACAGCCAGCATACTGAGTTCTACTCTCAGTTGCAAAATTGCTCTCCATGGCCACTCCTCATTTCTCCCACCCCAACTAATATCTGAAAGGAGGCTAAAGAAGAAGTGATGCACAGAAGAGTCAAAACACCATTTTTCCTTTTATTTCTGGAAGGCAGTGTGGTAAGAGATAAAGAATATTGGGCTAGGAACTAGAAAACCTGGGCTCCAGAATAGATCATGTGACTTTAAAGCAAGTTACTTGATATCTCTGTATCTCCATTTCTTCATCTGTAAAATGGGGGGAATATGACCTACCTGATGGTATTGTTAAGAATGACATGAAATAGTTATTAGAATAGATGATATTTTTTTGGCTACTTACTCAATGCAAAGGCTGTTCTAATGTTTTTCCATGTACTAACTTACTAAAATGTCACAACAAATGTATGAGATTCTATTCCAAAAATTTTTTTATTATAGAAATATTCAAATGAACAGCAGAAAAAGTAGAAAAATGGAAATAATATCCATACCACTTAGAATCAACAACTGTTAACATTTTGCCATACTTATTTTTTCTATCTACCTACCTATCTATCCATCTATCTCAATCTGTCAGACATATTGAATATTTCAGCATGAATGTTCAAGATATAAGAGCACCATTCTACATAACCACAATACCACTGCCACACCTAACAAATTAATAAGAATTCTCCCAAAGCTCTAATGTTGTTGTTGTTGTTGTTATGTGCCATCAAGTCAGACCCGACTCATAGCAACCCCTCCTTGGGTTTCCCAGGCAGTATCACTACAGAAGTAGATTGCCCCATCTTCCTTCCGAGGAGTGGCTGGCGGGTTTGAACTGCCAGCCTTCTAGTTAGCAGTCAAGTGCCTTAGGCACTATGCTACCAGAGCTCCCAAAGCATCTAATACTCAGTCTATATTAAAAATGTTCCCCTTGTCCCTAAAATGTCTTTTATAGATGGTGTGTTCAAATCAGAGCTATTGATATCCTTATTTTACAAATAAGCAAAAAAAGTCACACAGCTAGAGTGGCAGAGCTGGAATCTGAATGCAGTAATCCAGAGCCACTAGGCCATAGGGCCTCTCTAGTAACATATAAATGAATTCAAAAAAAAACAAACTCACTGCCATCAAGCCGTTTCCGATCATAGCAACCCCCACTGGGTTTCTGAGACTGTAAATCTTTATTGAAGTAGATTGCCCTATCTTTCTTCTGCAGAGCGGCTGATGGGTTTGAACCACAGACCTACCAGTTAGCAGTCAAGTGCCTTATCTACTATGCCACCAGAGCTCCTTTTTACATATATATTGCCCAATCTTCCTTCCAAGGAAGGTTGGGCAATCTACTTCCGTAGTGATACTGCCTTGGCAACCCAAGGAGGGGTCGCTATGAGTAGGGGCCGACTGGATGGCACATAACAACAACAACAACATGAGAGCACTAATGACATGCCTGCACTTGATAGGCCCTCTTTCTCTACTCCCCTCCCCATATCATCTTTACCCTCCTCTTCCCCAGTATTTTTCAGTACTGTCTCCCCTTTACACCCCAGTCCCTCTTATACCTCACTTCTTTCCCCTTCCCCAACCAAAATCTCAGTTGTTTCCAGAGGTTCACCTGAAACTGGTGCAAAGAAAACCTGGGAGGATGGAGGCAGCCGCTCCCACTGATAATGGGCGGCGGGCTTACTCCTTGGGGACTGGCAGCTGAGGGTCACGTTGGTCCCCACACGGGGTGAGCCCAGGAGACGGCAGGATGGAGGAGCTGGAGGAACTAGGGGAGGGGAGACAATAACAACTCACACCTTAGGGACCAATAGATCTTCCCTCCCCCTCCCCCCAACACACATTTTTCCTTTTGTGGCTCCATTTGCCTTTCCTCCAACCCTTACACTCAACCATTTGGCAAAGAGAGACCTGAGGATGGGGTAATATCGGAAAATAGGTACTTCTCACTCACCCAGCACATTGAGTTCAAAACTTGTGCTGTTGTAGCCTTTAGTTACGCGTTGACCTTTATACACATTCACAGAACAATGGTAAGACCCAGAGTCTTCCTCCTGGAGGCCCTGCAGCCGAAGTGACACATTCCGAGAGGGCATGGAGTGGACCAGGGATACTCTAGGATTGCTTGACACGACCACATTGTTGTAGGACAACACCTGATGTGGAACATAACACCTCCCCATTCATTACTGTATACACTGTATTCACAGGCTCAGCTAACCCCCTTCCCTCAAACTGACACTCTATAGATACTCCTCACCTGCATACATCCCTTCTAACCTGTACCAGCTCTCGCTCCAGCTGCCTTCTCACCACCCCTGGATACCTTTCACCAGAACAGTTCTTGTTTCCGTATACATCATTTCTTCACCTCCCATTTCAGATGTTTAGAAAGGTGATATAATGGGAAAGGGAGAGATAATGTGAATAGGAGGCTATGCAGATTGAAGGGGTAGACCCAAGTTTTATAAGGCCTGAAACTTAGCAATGGGGCAGGTGGGGTGGTGGAGGTTGCATCTTTTAAATAGATGGAAAAAAATGTTTTGTTTTTTAAGAGGAATAGAGATGACCTTGTGAACTCATCTTTCCAGGACCTTGGAAGGAGCCTATACAAGTGAGGGGCTCTGAAAGTGAAGGTTCATTCAGTTCTGGGTGACTCCGCCTCTGAGTCTGTCTGCTGTGATGATAGAGGACTAGTGGAAGATTGTGGGAGGAGATTGCCCCTTGCTTCCCAAGGAGGTAAAAAAGGCAGGGGAGCAGATGATAATCATCTGACAAGTGGCCTGTCACAGACAGGGGTGAATTACCCAGTAAGCAAGGTAAGCACAGGCTTCCTTGTGCTTACTTAATAATCTGCAGTGAATAGTTTCACAAGGCATCTGAAGTAAAAAAAAAAAAAAAAAAAGTGAGACTGTTCCCTATAGATTAGTAAGTAAGCACAAGAAAGCTGGTGCTTACCTTGCTTACTGGGTATCCCATGCTGCTGACTGTGTAAAACAGAGGATGTGAAAACAGAATGACGTTCAGCTTTTACAAGTTGTGTTACTTGCCCTAACCCTTCCTCTTTCTCAATAATAAAGTAAAATATCTCTCCACCTCCAAAGTGTTTTGTATACTGGACTAATAGGGAAAGTTGGAGAAAAGAGAATTCTTTTGGGAAGCCTCCAAAATTGGAACAAAAACTGAACCAGTGAGGACACTTGCTTTTCCCTAGAACTCTTCTCCTTATCCCCTTATTTCTGCCAGCTCTTTCCCACACCCACTCCCCCACCTCCGCTGGGCCCAGCTTGCCACTGGCAAGGCACTTTCTCCCTCACCTGCTTCAGATCCTTTCCATCCTGTTCCAAGAACCAGAACACCACCGGCACCTCCCATGGCTGGAACGAAGACACCTCCCCTCTTAGAGTATACCACACCGGGAACACCACTTCAGCTCCCTCCACGGCCTGCAACCTGGAGAGGCCCGCGGGCACGTGCAGCTCCACCTGGGCCCGCGAGGGAGATGCTAGGGGCAAGAGCAAGGAGGCGTGAGCGCCGAAGACTGACTCCCTGCTGCGCCCGCGCCTTCCACCCACAGCGGTTGGAGGAGAGGGTCTCGACAGTCGCGAAAACAGGAAGAACCAACGCCTCCGGTTCCACAATTGGAGGCCTCAAGGATTGCCCAGGAACCACTGACCCAGTGTCCCGCTTTCCATTTCACTAGTGTATTCTCCCGAAGGTTTTTAGCTGGGATAAGGACGCCTTTCTATGCGTTTATTTTTATCCAGAGATTTCTGGGCACCAAAAAGAAGGGGTAGATTTCTAGCGAGAAGGGGAAGATATGCAGCAGGAAGAGCAGATTTAATACTTTTGATCTCCACCGCACGTAGCCCCCTTGCACCCCCAATTACCCCCGAGTCAAAGGGTAGTAGCGATGCTAGTGGAGCCGCCAGGGTCCCTCGCTCCGGTGTTCTCGCCGGGACTTGCAGGAGTTGGGAGGCGGCCGCGTTGCGGATTAACCCAGCGGCTCCTTCTGAACTGCCACAGCTAGACAAAAGGCAGTGGCTCAGCGCCCAGGCCTTGCCCAGTGACTGTGGTGCTTCCCAGCTCCCGCTCTGCCTCGACTTCTCCAGGAAGGCAGGGGTGTGTGACCCAAAACGGTCCCAAGGGTCACTGTGGGGTCCAGGAGATCTAGGCGGGCCCTCTCTACGTCGCAGTGAATCGTGGGCAGAGCTGAGACGTGAATGAAGGTCTCCTGACAATTACAAGACTTTCTCTGGTGTGTCCAGCATTGAGGGGTGGACTGGAGTGTTGGTTTCAAGGAGGGGGGTCATGGAATCAACCCTTGTGCCATGGTGCCCAGGAACACTCACTTTTTGCCCTACAGGGAGGCAACGGAGTTTCAAGCTCTTTAAGGAATAACCTTGGTGCGGTACCTTGCCAGGCCTTGGATGCTGGGCCCCTGCTCCTTAACCTGCTGTTCCCTACCCTTAGCAATAAGTTATGGGACACCACCTCCCCATGAGGAGCAGGCATCCATGCCACAGGCAGAGGCCGCAGCCAGGACCAGCTCTGTGCCCTCCTGGGCCACAGCTGAAGACCTCTCTGGGCCAGGAAGCTGATCCCACCAGGATGCACGTCACCCCCACCTCTTTCCGGCTGCGAGTCTTTACGGAGTCCCCACTCCTATTCCTTGGCCTTTGCAGCACCCCCTTCCCATTTCCTGACGGGTCCCTGTGGGCTGGGCAGGAAACTTGGACCCGGTGATAAGCCAGAAGAAGACAATGAAGGGGAGGGCTGCTAAACTGGAGGATCTCCATGCAAAAACAACCCCCACCTCAAGGAGTTCGATGCCCCCTGGGAGCCTGGACCCCCTAGCCAGCAGCAGAGGCTGAGGCCTAGAAGACCTGATGTGTCCCTGCCTGTGGAGCCGGCTATCCCAGGGCCTGAAGAGAAACTTGCCACAGGGTCCCCTAGCTATGTCCCCAGGTCCCACATTTACAATTTCACTTGGCAAAACTTAGGGGTTAAAATAGATAGTTATGGGCACACTGGGGTCTGGGCAAATGCTCCTTGCTCCAGCCCCACATCAGAAACTAGGAGTGGCTGGGCCCAGGGCTTTCCTGCTCTGTCCTGGATATTTACTGGAGGTTAGCCCCCCTCAACTTGTCAGCTCTTTTAGTTACCAGGATCCAAAGTAGCCACTGAGCGAGAAAGAGTATGGGTGGGTCTGGGTGAAGGAGACTGGAGTAGCCCAAGAAAAGGAGCCTTTCCACTCTGCCCTGAGAGTGAGGGAGCAGGCAAGGGCCTAAGGAGAGCAAAAATGGGCGGGCTCCCCAGGGCTCCTATTTTTAGTCTCCCTCTTTCTCTGAGAAACTCCCCCCTTGCCTGCTTCTCACGCCCCAGGGGCAGCCGCAGAGACTCGAAGATTTGTATACCCATGTTTACTGCAGCACTATTCACAGTAAGAAAAAGGTGGACACAACCTAAATGCCCATCAGCAGATGAGAAGAGGAGCAGTAGGTCCTTTCAGAGTGCCTATCACAGCACCCACAGTGCTAGCAGGAGCACCATTTAAACCCCATATGGTTGGTGGGTGCTGGGCAACACACACACATACAAACAAACGCACACTACCCCCCAGTACCCCCCTCAACCAAGGAGAGATGTTGAACAGGGCATAACAGGGAGAGAAGAAAGGGGGTGCAGATGAGCTGCAGAGGGTTGTCCAGGATGCCCAGGCAGCAAACCTAGATTTTCTTCCCTTGTTTCAGAGATCTGCCCCAGCAGGAAGGGGGTGGGAGGGTTAGGGGTGGAATGTCAGGACACAAGGAAAGAGAAGCTGAGGTAGAGGTTAGGTGAGGGGAGCTAAGAAGTTGAAGGATCCTGGAGTAGGTCCACAAAGCCAGGAAACTGCCCTGGCTTTGGTGCAGTCAGATGGCTACATTTGAGCCTCAGTTTGTCTGGAGACCCTAATACATCACACTCCAATACCTTTGGGGCAAGACCCAGGCTAAAGGTGATAAGTGGGAGTTAGGTGATCACATCTTAGCCTCCATCTCTACAGCTGAATTTCATTCCATTGCCTTCCAAGTCTTACACCCTCTTAGGCCTCAGTGGCCTCTAACCTAAGGCTGACCTGCCAAAAGTACCTTCACCCTCATTCTAGATCCTTGAAGGGGATGGTGAGAAAGTCCAGAAGAATATGTGAAAATGTGTATGGGCTTAGTTCCTGTTGGGTCCTTCTCTTCCCAAATGTGAGGCTGAGCACCCTCCCCAACACTTGCTCCTTGGAAGGTTTCCTTTACCTCCAACTTTTTGCAGCTTCTAGTGCTTATTTCCCTTGTCCTTTTGGTTCTGGGATCCAACAGAGGTGGTGAATTTCTTTGGGAGGGGGGTCACAATTCTCTCAGTATTTGAACCCCTCCCCCATTTCCTGTGTCCCAAATGGCCTCACGGTCGTGCTTTTGGGGCACCTCCCTTGATTCCTAGGGCAGGAAGCAGGGGGAGGGGTAAGGGAGAAGATCTGGGCTAGGGAATTGATGTGAAGTGAAATGCCTGTGTTAAATCTGGGGACCAGGGAATTCCTGCGGGGTTCTTCTGCATCAGCTTGTGTCTGCGCTGTGGGGTGGGGGAGTAAGGCTAGTTGGAGTTAAGTCTTTAAGCTCTTTAGGGAATGTCTCATCTACCAGCTCAGCTCATCCGGATCTGCTAGGGAGAAGACGGAGAAGTAGGGGTGAGAAACAGTTGGACAACTCACCCTCGACTTACTTGGGTCTACCCCAGTAAGCGCTCGCTCCGACTTCCCCCTAACACACACTGCGCCCAAATTGGGAGCTAAGTTGGGGTGAGAAATCTACACTAGCCAGTGATGCCCTGAGGGACTGGGGGAGGGGAGAGATCACAAGCGGGAGCCCTGTTCTACTCAGTTGCTCATCAGCGCCCAAAGCCACCTCCCTCAGGGTCAGACTCACCCTACCCTTGGGCCAAGTCCTCTCCCGGTCGCAGGTTCACTCACCTAGGGCACTCAGCCCCAGGAACAAAAACCGCAGCAAGCTGGCCGCTGGGAGCCCAGGCAGGGAAACCATGGCCCTCCCCGGCCCCGACGGAGTCACTGGTCCTAGCTCCAGGACACAACGACCGACAGGTGCCAAGGCAGCACTACAGCTGGGGCGGGCCCGGGAGCCAGGCCACTGACACCAAGGGCGGCTCCAGCCCGAATCCGTGCGTGTGTGTGCCGGGGCTAGGGTGGGGACCGACGGGGACAGGGAGGCGGGGCATTCAGGAGGGCGGAGAGGTCGCAGTCCTCCCAGGCGAGACGCGCGGGTGACCCGCCGTGGGGGGGCGCTCCTTGCACTCTGTCCGGATCCCGCACTCCCCACACGGTTAGGCTCTGGTAAGTACTGGTGCCTTCCCGCGCCCGCCCGGGGGACAGCGAGAGAAGGCCCCTGAACAACCACTCTACTCCATACCCTTCAGTCTCCGCCGTGGGGGTAAGAAGGGGCGAGGAAGGGGAGTTTGGGGATTACCCAACGTCCAGGAGGCACCCGCACCCTTGACATCGTCGAAGACGGGGGCTCTGGCTCGACTAACCGGCTTGGAACTTGGGGATACTGCGTCTTTAGCCTAACCAGGTTTGGCCTCCTTGAGGAGAAAGCCAGGGGACCTCATTCTGCCTAGGCTCAAGCCTCGGTAGAAACCAAAGAGGCCCTGGTACCCGCGCGCGCGACTCCTTCTGCCCTATCAACCGCTTTCCCAAAGCCAGGGGCAGGAGAGGCAATGGGGAGCCAAGCAGGCGCTTGCAGCCGGCGGCCTCAGACCCAAAATTCCGCCTGTCAGGAAAGGTTGTGGCCCCTCCCGCCCGCAGCACCCAGAGACTGCACTTCAGCTCAGCGCGGGTGTGCTGATGCTGAGTCGGTCTCCACCTGTGGGCGGGGTAAGAGGAAACGCTCTGAGTCCTCTGTACCTGTTGCCCCCGAGTAAATTCCGACTCACAGCGACCTTATCAGAGACTGCCCCCACAGCATTGCAAAGCTGTAAATCTTTACGGAACAGCTTTCTCCCATGGAGCAAGTGGTGGGTTCTAACTGCTGACCTACTGCTTAGCAGCTGAGCGCTTAACCACTGCACCACCAGGGCTTCTCAGAGTTCGCTGTAGATCCCCTAAAACCCAAGTCCGATGATTATCACCCTGGTCTTTGAGTCTCATACCACAAGCAGGGAAAAGAATGGCCCAAGGAACTAAGCAGGAAACTGAGAAACCAACTGCTGTTCCTAGCGCCTCTCCAGTGAAAAGAACTGCTTATAGGCCTTATGCAGACTGGGTAGAGGGGGCGGCTTCAGGGAAGGGCAGACAGGACAAAGTCACTCAACTTCTTCCGTCCCCAGTATCTTCGCTGCCTCCCATCCCTACAGTGATGGGGCTCAAGCCTGCTCTGATCCTTTAATTCCCGGGATTAGAATTTGCTCGCGGAGAATTTAATTTAACCGCCCCCCTCCCCTGCCACTCTAGAAAAGGCACCTCGGCGCCCTCTGGCGGTCGCTGCTCCCTTACAGAATGCACGCACCTGTTCTTGTTTCTCTGTCCAAAGCCAAAAATAAAAGATGCTGCAAACATCCGGACATTGCTCAATCCCCAAGCAAAGGTCATCGAGAGCAGAAAGCATAACCACGGATTCCTGGCGCTGCCTGCTGTGGCTAGCAGCGTTGACTAGGAAGAAAAGCAGGCAGGTCTCCTGGATTCCATTTACTCTACACAGTTCTGCCCTCATTGTTAACACTGCTATGGTCTTTGTGAATGTACTGCCCCATAGACCTTCTCAGCTGCCTCTTAGTGTGACTTGCCTGGATCCACTTCATGTATCTGCCATGCAGTGGCTTTGAGCAATGCCTATGCAAATACTAGAATACTCGTGCAACCTCTGGAATCTAATACTTGGTAGCTCAGTAGCAGCAAAGGCAACAATAGATAACAGCCAGGCCCTACAAACTTGGAATTTTCAAGTAGATTGTGAAAGGGAAGATAGAGTGGTTGGTTTTGCTTTTTCTATTCTAGCACATTCATATTTTTCTTAGCTTTAATCTATATTGTAAACCACCTCTTGTAAACACTCCTCCTTTGTTTCCAGACTCCTTCCAAAGAAGGCAGAACATACTTGGTTCTAACCAAGGAATGCCAAGGCATCTAATTATACTGGATTATGCTCATCCCTATCAAGTGCTTCTGAAGCTAACTTTCCCTTTAGAATCCAAATAGTTTGCAACATCAGAAACAGAGCTGTAACCAAAGGCAGTGAATGTCTTCATGTGACACTGAGGCAGTCCCTTCATGATACTTTCACTCCAAAGAATTTTTCTTAATGTCTCCTATTCTAGCCACCAGAGGCAGTCAAGTGGTAGAAATTAGCAAAGTCGGCTCATTACTTTTTGATAGTTTTTGCCAAGATGCATTTTAGGGTAGGCCTTGCTCTCTACCCTTTTGTAAAATGAGAATGTTAACACATGACCTGTGAGTGGCCAGGGCACTGCTTATATAAACATGTATATAAGAGCTAAGTTCATAGTTTCATGTTAGAGACTTATAGGTCATTAGTGTTGTAGTAGTTAAGGTTGTGTGTCAACTTGGGATAGGCCTGGTTAAGTGGCTGGGCAGCTGGTGGCAATTATTCCCCATGATGAGACTGGCAATCAACTCCATGGTACGATCTACCACAAGCAGCTGAGTAGCTGCTTTAGGGATGTGGTCTGCTTCCCGTATATAAGCAACAACTTTGGGAAGGGTCTCTAGCTTATGGCACGCTTTAACCCTTCATGTAACCTGAACCCTTCATGTAGCCGAGTCGTCGTTCAGCAGCCTGCCTTGCTCTGCCCATCTTGGGACTTTCAATGGACTTGAATCAATATGGTCTGGTAATGTGGGGACTGTGCCTTTTTACTTGTCGATCTTGGGTTTGTCAGCCTCAGCAGCCAGCAGCTGTCCAAGAGAAGGGAAGCCTCTAGCTTCAGTGGGGCAGGAGCAAGAGGCAGAGCTAAAGCCCAAAGTGAAGGGGCTTTCATCCAGCCCCTAGAGCTTGGTACTTTGAACTCAGACTTCTAGCCTCCTAAACTGTAAGAGAATAAACTCCTGTTTGTTCAAGCCATTCCATTTGTGGTGTATTTCTGTTAGAACAGTACTGTTGTGTTGTTGTTGTTATGTGCCATCTAGTCAGACCTGACTCATATGGGTTTCCAAAGCAGCATCACTACAGAAGTAGATTGTCCCATCTTCCTTCCCAGGAGTGGCTGGTGGGTTTGAACCACCAGCCTTTTGGTTAGCAGTCAAGTGCCTTAGGCATTAAGCTACCAGAGCTGTCAGAATAGTACTAGGTAACCGAAACAGTGGTGGTGGTGGTGTTTTTTCCCCAAAAAACTGCACCTCATCTTGTATCTCTAAAGTATTTTCTAATACTGATTCTTATGCTTGAATACAGTGTCTCCATTACCCTTGAATTAGTCAGATGAGGTCTTATTAACATCTAAATAGCCCCATTCTTTGTTTTTAAGCAATCATACAGTTATCTGATAACCTGCTGCCTTCTTTTTTTTAGAGTGTTCTCACCAAAGAGACTGCATAAATTCAGTATTAGCAAGCTATTTTCTTTCCAGCCCTCTATTTCTCAATGTTCAGCTTTGTCCTTTTTGCCCCACCCCTCATCACACTCCAAGTCAAATGGTGAAAGCACATACTGGATCCAGTATTTGCCACTTCTTCTATGTGCTCAAAGTGGTCTAAAAATGCCCTACTCTCAGTAATGTTAGGTACTTTACTAAATGTTCTTGCTCTGCCCCAGCTAAGCAACTAGCAGCAACAGGAAGTGGGAGGAGGAATAAAAAAAATGCATGAAGCATAATGTTAGTTTTAGGGTTGGTCGATGCAAAGTTTTGGGGATGCCATCTAGTACTCCTGATGATAATTTCTTTACAGCACTGAATACTGAGATTATTGCTCCAAGAAAGTCAATGGAACCTCAGCCTTTAGGATTATAATTCTAAATTTGAGTGAAGAGTAAAGTCTTGAGAATTCCCTAAGGTCCATGCCTATAGACTGTGTCCAGGGAGAAGAGGTATTATACTCAGACATCCTCAGAATAGTAATACTCTCCCTGAACTACACCCATTTTTGGTTAACTCATCAGGGAATAGGCAACTCCATTTACAGAGGCGTAAATGACATAAATGAAAGTAATCCCGTTGACTATAAGCTTTCTTAACCACTAGAAATATAATCAACTGACTAAGAGGCATCAAAATGAGAAAATCACTGATTTGAGACCATTCAGGTTGTGGGAAAGAAGAGAACATTTTTTATCACACGCAATTTTGTCTTCAATAGTATAGAAAAACAGGGAGAATTAGAACTCTTACCTGGATGTGCAGCCCAATTAAAATACAGCACCTGAGAGAGAACTGGGGAATCATGAAAGATAAATAACCAATCTAACAGATTCCTACCATGAGACCAAACTGGTCTGTGATTATCCTACTAGTAAAGTGTTCTTAGCTAAGAGGATTAACCTCTTGGTGGAGTGCTAGGTGGCCCATAAGAAAACTGTGAAAGATCTATAAACATACTGATCTTCCTAAAGGGCTGATTGCCCAATTTCCTATCCTATGGATCTCTTTAAAAATGAATCATGTTTCCACCAGTTCACTTCTCATTTTTCCACTTAGATTCTTTGAGAGTTGCCCTGGTCATTGAGTGTAAAGATGTGAAAGGAAAGTCTCTTACAAATTCAAGTACTGAGGGTCAGAAGGAATATCCTAGTCATTTAAAAATAGAATACACAAAATGAGCTGTCCAATAACTTTGGTACTCTGACAAGAAATAATGACATTGGTCAGTGGGGTACAGAGTGAAAGGTGATGAAAACACCCTGCTGTGTCTGTCCTGTTCATTCTTAGCAGTAAAGTCAGAGCACAGTCCTCACTGTCAGTGAGGCCACACTCTGCTACAAAAAGCTCAATTAGTACGCCAAGTGGCCAGGAATTATTTTAATCTGTTTTTAAAAAATGTTTAAACGGCAACACAACCGTAGTTGGTACATCACAGAAACAAAAGTCTTTTTTGCAGGCAACACTGATTGGAAATAGCAAAACACTTGGTTGGTGAAAAAATGAAACTCTAAATTATATACAATAGTAGCTAAGGGTGATATTGAAAAACAGTCTTATTTAAGTGACTCAAGATTTAACTTGCCATTATCTATTGCTTATTTATTCAGGGTTGTAAATAACACTTATATTGAGACATAGATGTGTAAAAATGAAACATTGTGAAAAAAATACAATTTTTTCAATTTCATATGAAACTCAAAGTATAAGTTTTGTCCAATATGGAATGTACCTACATTTGTTCATATCAGGGCTCTAAAATCCGTTAAAAAATTTTTTGTTTTTAAAAAGAAAACAGCTGACCCACCATGCAAGTTCGTTGTAATATCTTGCTTGCTCTAAATGAGCATTTTCGGGTGAGGTCTGTTTTTTCTTCCCAAAGTTTACTATAATTTTTTAGATGTCGTACTGGCCCAACTGTGGAAAGATAGTTTCCATGAAGAGTCTGATGGCAGCATCTGGATGAGAGAGTCTGGGATTTGGGAAGTGAGTAGAGAAGAGGAAGGTAAGAGCCCAAATCCTTATGAAGGATGACTTTCAGTTGTTAAATTTTAAGGGGTATCCAATGGCTTTTTCCAGGCACTCAACTAAAGAGCCTGCAGAAAGAAAATCCCTCTCTACTTCTACAAATTTGATATAGATAGATTTTGGGGAAACTCCAGGATCCACAATACAGTTCTGAGACAAAAACCCATTAATACCAACCCAATCTTTGCTGAAGGTTTTGGTATTTGCTTGGAAATGTAAAAATAAGCATTGCTGCAGTGTCCTGACCTCAGCAATCCCGAGGTAGCAATAGATAATTCGGGTGGGCTCCATTTCCACCTGTAATGAGGCTTGTGCTGAAAGGGTTTCCAGGTCAACCCGGCCCTCCTTTCCTGGGTCCAGGGAACGCCGCTCCATGTGGGGTGAGAGGGGTCTCTCAATACATTCTTCATAGCCAATGGCATAAAGGCCTGGGCTTTTAGGAATGCCTCCTGGTAATAAATACTGAACAATGTTCCCACCAGTTGGTTTGGAGTGGGCAATGGGTATCCAGTCAATTTCCATGTGCAGCTCCAGGCATCTTGCTTCACTAATAGTGATCTCCAAAAATTTGTAGTAAACATTTTTCCAGTTCATTTTCTGCACTCGGGTCATAATGATCCGTCCCTCAGGCTTCTCCGAGTTGAAGTACTCCCGAAGTCGCTTGCCAAGGGGCACCTGGGAGCTGATCTCAGCATAATGGTATCGGATATCCTCTTTCCAACGAGTGTTATAACCAATTCCAAAAATGGCCAGTTTATTAGAAAGATGAAGCCTTGAAAAGTCTGTCCAGCTCTGAAACAGTTCCCATTTCAACTGCACTGATTCCAAAATCTGTACAATATTCTGCATGATATCTCTCTTCCTAGAAAGAGAAATGAAAATCAAATTCCTCAGGTGTCTAGATCAGCACTGTCCAACAGAACTTTCTGCAATAATAGAAATGTCCTCTATCTGCACTAACAGAGTAGCCACAAGCACTTAAGACATGGTAAATGATGTATTAAATTTTAGATTTTATTTAATTTAGCTCTGGTCACGTAGTGGGTAAGGCATTTGACTGCTAATCACAAAGTCAGTGGTTCAAACCCACCAGCTGCTCCATGGAGGCAGATGAGCAATCTACTTCCATAAGGATTTACAGCCTTGGAAACCCAATGGGGGTCACTATGAGTTGGAATTGACTCAGTGGCAGAGGGTTTGGTTTGATTTTCTTGGATTTAATTTTAAATTAAATTTAAATAGCCACATGTGACTAGTGGCTACTGTACTAGACAATGCGGGTCTAGATAACCACAGTACTAAAATCTGAGAAGCACTCACCCCTAGGAGATTTCTCAGAATTAATGACAAGCTGCTTTCCATTACCTATATAGGCTTGCTGCATCAAACCGAGCGACCACTGATATATATCAGACCCTAGGATTTCAGAAATCTAAGGATCGTAAATATATTGTAAGTGGCTATTGCAATGTATATTAGTGATGGCCTTCAGACCTGACTTCCAAAAGAAGTTTCTATATTTAGAAAAGCATCCAATGTTGCTGAAAATAATTAACAGCTTAATTTCTACCTGGGCATTTTGATGGAGAATATTCAATCGATTATAATTAATTACCTACTACTGCACAAATAAAATAACATTTTCTTCAATTTGTCTAAAATCTATCACTATTTCCAAATTTAAAAGCACTGTAAGTTTAGCACAGATTTAAGATCGTAGCATTGAGAAAGAAAATATCCACGTTTGGCTTAGGTTTTACAAGAAAGGGACTCTAGAGAATGAGCTGCACTCTCAATGAAAATCCCTTACAATGGGAAGCAAAAGCACAGAAATTACTTCCATTTTGATTTGTATAGTTAAGAGAATAAGAAAATGCAGGGAAATTCTTGTTTCACATGCTGTTTAAGATATAATTTGTAATGGGTACTTCATGATGATTGGTCAAGGAAGACACATAATTCCAAGTTTTTCCTCAGTTATGGCAAACCTTTTATATTGGAAGATTACAGTTTGCTAAATATTACCTTAGCAACAAACTATTACACTTTACATCAATTATAGGTTTAACCTACAAAAATACTCAGCTACCACACTCACATATAATCAAACATAGGCAAGCAAAGAGGGTGTGCATGTTAATTGGCTAACAGGTTCCTGGAAGGAGGCCTTGGACGGAGACAGATCCTTGAGACTCTACTTTTAAATTCTCCTACCTACTAGAAGAGCTTTTGGAATATTCTGAGGAGTCTTCCACATAGCCTTCTTTATCTGTCCTCTTACTCTCCCTTCACTTTTCATTAGTGAGATGACAAAGACCTAGTATTTTGCTATCTGCTGCTTCCTGGAACCAAAAACTGCCCCAGTTTACCCTCTACCCTTTAGTTTGTCTTAAAAGCTTCTCAAGTATCATCAGAGTGGCCATCTAGATGAAATCACCACATAACTAGGGAATTATTCATCTTCTCAGGGGACACAAAGGCACTTGATGATGATCACTTTTACAATGCTTGGACTGTGGTACTTGTGAAGCTAAAAATGTAGGACCACATTTCTGTATGGCTAAATATTTTAAAGAAAAACTGTCATTATCAACCTTCCTTGTCCACTTCTGAAATGTGTTTTACTGATCTCAAGGAGGACCAGATTAAGGAGCTGGGACGGAGGGCAGAGACTTTTGTCTCTTTTGCTCACTGATGTATCCCGATGCTTGACATATATAGGCACCTGATAAATATTTGTTGAACAGACGGGTGACTCTTCTTCATGGATGAAGAATGTTGTATTTTATTGCTGATTATGTTACCTAGCTCAGGTTAATGTCACCTATATCTACAAAGAAAAATAATCCAGTTGCCCAAATGAAGTTATTTTATTCAGCACTGTCACAGCCCTAAATCATATTGATGCTAATTCAGACACCACAAGGCATAGCTCTGAAAAAACTGTTACACTGAAAAATAAATAGCCTGACAGATGAGCCACACAGGTTGGAGATTTCAGGAGAGCCCATCAGTTTCCTGTGCTGCTGATCTGGACTTGGCCTGAAACTTCCTGGGGTCATGACTCATGTCAGTTTGCAAAGCCATAGAGCACAATGAGAAATAGACCCAGTTACTGAACCTCTTTGTGACCTATGGGACATATATCACCCACCAGGATTTTAGGGCTCTGAAGTTTCTGGGGAAAATGCTATACCAGTTGTAATACATATTGCTGCCTGGTAGGGACCTATATAACTGTGTTGAGTCTAACTCACCCCACCAACCCTACTACCAGAGTCCATTTAAGACATGTGTGTCTCATATAACTATCAAAATCCGTATTACCTCAAAAAATCTTTTTTTTTCCTTGATTTCACCCTTCCATTAGTGAAACACATGGTGTCAACAAAAATTTTGAAACAAAAAATAATCTAGTCATTAAAGGGTTAAACAGTTTCTGAGATCTGCTTTTATAGCTCCTGGTTTCTCAAGTTCCAACCATGGGAAAAGTTCAGGTGGTTTGGGGTTTGGTGGCACCAATCCTGTGGAGTTCGAGTTCACTCCTAGTTACATCAACTGCAAGGCTTCCTCTGCAGGTCCCCCCAAGTGGCTAAAGAGAGAGGTGAGACATTTTGTGAACAGCCAATGGCTGTTTTAAGTAATAGGGGTCTGAAGGTATGGACTTGTAATAACTCATTTTTAAAAATAGTAACCAGGATGGCAATAATGCTGGCACAACATGAAAAATGTCATCAATGTCCCTGAGCTGTAAATGGGGAAGTTATTATGTTGGCAAATGTCTTGCTGTATATGTTTTCACCACAATAGAAGATAAAAAATTTTTTTTTTAATTAATAAAAATAGTAACCATAAAGCTTACCCTCCTTTGGGACACTCTCATGTCACAATCTTAAAAGAGACCCACCTCTCAACAGAGATGGCCTCAAACTTACTGATCTGGATCATAAACTTTTTTTTTTTTTTTTTTTGGAGGAGTTGGATAATGGTTACAATTTTGGGAAATAACTTCTGATCCCTGAATTCCCACCCACTCCCCAGACAGGAAATCAGCTGACATTGGGAATTATTTGATTCCAAAGAGATACTCTGAAAAAGAAATGAGTATCTGTTAAGAGTGGTGGTGGTGGTGGTGATTTGTTGAATGAAAACAACTACACCCACTCCTCACTTACTGACATGGTTAGGTTCCAAAGACCAGGTTGTTATGGGAAAATCACCATTATGTGAAAATGGTGGGTAACTACATCAGATCACAAAATGAAGGATGCCTGTATCATTACATAACTGTCAAACTTCACCATTACATAATGGCCAAATTACATCATTACATAACTGCCAAACCACTGAGAATTATGGCCCAGCCAAGTTGACATGTAACCTTAACCATCACGACCAGTTATCCTTACCTTGCACCTCAGTGTTTACTATTGCCAGAGGTAAGTTGTTAATGCAAAAAATAATCAAATAGTAGATTTCTTATTATGATGGTAAATTTGAAATGTCAGATGACTAGACAGTCAATAAATGAGGGGTAGGTATAATGCTTCTGTACTGTATTACTTGCTATTACAGTCTTTTTTATCTTGCCTCTTCCCCTTGACTTTTTTTCCTTGTCTCACAAACATCAACATTACATGTGTGGAATGATGTATGCAAGAACTGGTGCTGCGTATGCTCCAAGGTTACCAGGTGAAACAAAATGATGTTCTTCATTTCCCCCCTAAAGTTCTCTTTTATTGTAATCTCTTCAGCAATTAGATTTAACCAGGGACTTACTTAAAGTTATTAAAAAGAATCACAAATACAACATCATTGGTAACTCACAAGTGTGATGTCCTTACAGAAGAGATGGTACTAAACTCTTAGGTAAGATTAGGAAATACAAGCCAGTGGAAGGACCTATTCCTGGACTTTCTTAGCCTTCCCTCCAGTAAATGCTTTCTTTTCCAAATTTTCCAAAAAAGTAGCTCACCCAAGAGTTTACTTTTTGATCCCCAGAATGTATTATTATAGAATCTAAGTGTCACTTTGGCCCTGCTTTCATCTCACTTAACCCCAGGCATTTCAGGCTCCTATGACTCATTTCTGATCCTTATTTAAATATCTTACTAGCCACACTCACACACAGGCAATCCACATAAACAAACTTATTTTCATGTAGCACACTTATTTCTTGTTCTATACAAAATATGAAACAATTTAGATTAATTACTGGAAAACTTAAGCTAACAAGTTGAAAAAGAATGAGTATATGTGCTTCCTCAATGGTATGGCTATAAGTTCCACAGTATGTCTAATTACAGTAGTGACTTTCCAAATCCTCTCAATAGTCATTAAACTTAGGCAGATACATTTTGTGGAAAGGTGAAACATCTACTTACTGTGCTTCCTCAGAAGACTCTTGTTTTATTTTTAATGTTCTCTTTGTAACAGGTATTTCATCTGAAAAGCAAAGTTTTTTAAACAAATTATATTTTCCTGCACAGTGGCACATATATTTATATAGATAAAAAGCTATGTTTAATTATTTTTGAATGCCTGACTTTAATTCTAGTGACTGTCAAACACCAGATTTATAAATATATTATATAATGAGATACATACATTTATATGCAAGATCAGAAACTAGCTCTGCATGTATAAAATTATTCAAGGTCACTAGTGGATTTCTGGCAAGAAGCTTAAGGCTTAATTTCACTGCAAACATGATTTTAAAAGAACAAGAATGAAAATAATTCTGTTCACCTTAGATTTTCTATGTAGGTTCTGCAGAGCAATTATTCCTTCAACATCAGGATAAACATTCTGCCCACCTATCATGTAATTTTTTTCAAGAGTTTAGGTGACTTAAATTTCTGGGGCAAAACCAGAATTATGGGATGCCAAAGTAATTCAGACTCTAATACTGTTTTGAAATTAAAAGTAGTGCTCAATTAGCATCTACCCTTTTTATTCTATAACATCATGTTACTCTTAAAGTTTTATAACCTCTTTCTCTTAATATTTGAGATACATTTTAAAACAGTATTCTTAAGAAATATATTTACATTTCCTTTCTGTCTTGGATTAGCATTTCTCTATCATCAGGAATTCTGTGAAATAGTATCCATGGACTTTTATCTTAAGCAAGGGAAGCACATTTTCACTGCCAATTCTACAAAGACTTCCCAGGAAGTTGCCTGGGTACCCAATGGATTTAAGAACACTGACTTAACATAAATGAGCACTCATCACCCAATTTTCTGTTAATGTACAATGGCTACAGAAGAAACTTGATTGCTACTTCCAAATTATGAAAATCAAAATTGGAGCATTTAATGTAAAAAGAAACTAACCAACCAAAAAAATAATTGGCCTCTAAATTAGGCCACAAACAGTTTTATTTTTCATTTTTAATGCCTCTGAATGTGTATGGAGCTCTGGCAGCGTAGTGCCTAAGGCATCTGACTGCTAACCAGAAGGCTGGCAGTTCAAACCCACCAGCCACTCCTCGGAAGGAAGGTTAGGCAATCTACTTCCGTAGCTTCCATAGCTGACACTGCCTCGGAAACCCAAGGAGGGTTCACTATGAGTCAGGTCCGACTCCATGGCACATAACAACAACGACATGAACTTGTATAAATCACCCCAGCTACAGTTGGGATGGGCTCAGTGAAGAAGTCTGATGAAGTATGATCCCTGACATAGTTCAAACATCAGCTCTTTTCAAGATAAACAGAGGCTTCTCCTCATTATCTGTTCAGACTGAAGTCTGGTAGGGGCCTTTTCCGAATCACAAATAGAAAAGAATTTGGAATAAAGGAAAAGATACAGTTAAATCTATAAACTGTTGGGACAAGAGTCAATAATCTCAGCAATGAGATGCAGGATATTTAGAACTGCACAGGATTCTACTTCTCAAGAGCTTCCTTGTATACAGTTCAGATTAAGAATCTGGCAGTTTAAGGCTATACCAAAGATGCCCACAGTGCCCCAAATACACGAGTTATATGCCTTGGGCTGACAGTGGGAATGGTATCAGAAGATAAGTACCAGTGTGCATATAAAGATAGGTATATGTATCCATTATTATTATAAATATTGGCTTTCTTACCCAATTCCTGATCTGTTGGATAGCCATGGAGATCCTGACTGTGGTTTCCCCAGTCCTCCTGTGAATACTCCTCCATAGTGCTGCCATCTGACTCCAGCTCCTGGTACAAGCCACTACTGTTAATAAGTACAGGCTGGCAGGGCTGAGCATCCCATCCTCCCTGACCAAACACCTGTTCCAACTGTTCAAATGTGTAACTGCTCTTTCTTTTCCCAACACCATGTTCTTTCACCCGACTGTAACACCTGCGAAGGGTCTAAGACACAAAGTCTTTTGTTATTCCTTTAAAGCTGTACTTCCTCTTCCAGGTATGGACCACAGATATTAATTACTATTAGACAGACACAGACAGACAAACATAGACACATTGTTACAGGAATGCTAGATTTCAAATTCATTATTATATTAGAAAAAAATACTAATTTAGCATTTACTCAAACATGTTATAATTCAAACAATTATTTTGCAGTTAATTATCCATTAAACAACAAGAAACATTACAACATTATTGCAGGTAACCCATATGCATATTTTTATACCCCCACCCCCATTTAAAAAGAATAAGAAGGGGGGGAAAAAAAACAAGAAATACCAGCCAGCCAATAGGATGCACACCTGCCACAGAAGAGTGAGAGCTGCTGTTGTGCCCAGAATTTGGAAAAAGTGAGGGAAGAGAGGACAGAAAGAAGAATTCCCCAAAGCAAAGAATATAACCTTCCTTATTCTTAAGAAGGAATACAGGACAAAAACAATTGCCTAAACCAATTAGCTAGTAAAACATATTACTCACAGTCTGTATTCCTTACTAATTCAGCCTTTCTTTGGGAAAGCTGCTAAAATTTAAAAGAAAGGTCAAATCTAGAATGCTACAAATTCCTAGTCTCAAATACCTATGATCAAGAAACAGTACACTAATACCTATGCCTAAAAATTAACCAATAATCTACCAACTCAAACGGACAGCTACTCAAACCAACAAATGAGGCCAGTAATTTCTTCTTGGAGGGAGAAAAATGAGGGACAAGGACGTTATTTCACTTCTTTTATTGCCACCAGGCACACGGCAAATATCATTATGCAAGTCCACAGATAAAACCCAGATAATTTTATTACCTTGTACAACCCTTCAATTTTCTTCATATTCTTTATCTCTAATACATACTTCTGATTATTAGTCCAGTTTCCTGAGTTGAATGGTATCTTATATTTCAAAAGATAAACCAAGGACTTAGTTTAGCTTCCAAATTTAGTTTAGCTACATTCATGGTCTCTTTCTCATCTCAGCCTCCCTTTGTTTTTTTCTAATCTCCTTTCTACTTTACTGTTTTTTATTCTAAGAGTTTCTTGAGACAAGACCCCTTTTCCCTGGTGTCTCCTCCCAAATACTTTATTACTCAACTATGTAAAATGATTTCACTTCAGACTTAAGTTATAGGCATTAGCCAGGCTATGAATTTCTTCTAAGTGTGATAGTACCTTTCATGAGCCAATAATCACCTATTCTAGCCAAAATAAAACAAGTCTCAATAATCTTCATTAAGCCTCCATGAATGTTCTATACAAACTACAATAAGACACTGTCCAATATTTTGCAAATCTCTCCCAAGGCCAGAAATCCAGGCAGACAAAAGGAATTTTAAAAAGTATGTCTCATACAATGATCGTCCTTACACATAAGCAGAGTAACGATTGGTCACCCCACTCTAATACCAGCCAGCCTTCCTCTGTGTAAACACCTGCTTCATCTTCTCTTTTCTTGAGATCTCCTCTGGTGCCTCAAGCGAGGGTTTAAAGAACTGAGGTTTCTTTAGAAAAATGTTCCTTCTTATTCTTTGTAAAAGACAGTCACAGATGCATAACACAAAACTTTCCAGAACAAATTGGAAATAAGAACTTGGGAAAAGTGTGTTATGGGCAAACCTTCCAATGGAAGCAAATGCCTGCAGATCTTACTTGACTTTCAACATGCTCCCTTTTCCCAGTGCCCTCTGCCCTTCTTGCAGGGATTGGAATTTGAATTGCAAACATCTCCTCCAAATTATTTTTATCTTACAATGTCTAGTTTCTGCCTGCAAGAACACCCCAACCACTCTTTCCAATTCCTCCAAGGACCATAAACAGAGAGTCCCAACCATGCTCCTGTCACCCTTCCAAGGCCATATATGGAGATGGAAACCATGCCACTGCTCACCACTTACTAGCTGCCTAGAGAAAAGCATTCCACACACAAAAGAGCCCAGTTGGCTCCGTCACTGAGGGTAATTTCAGAAGTAAACAAATAAAACTAATGTTCTTTGAAGAAAGGTGTTTTCGGAAACACTGTATTATCAGGAAGTGACATCAAAACAAAACAAAAACACAAACTCCCTGCCACTCTGGCTCATAGCAACCCCCACTGGGTTTCTGAGGCTGTAAATCTTTGCAGAAGTAGATCGTTCCATCTTCCTTCCACAGAGGGGGTGGTGGGTTTGAACTGCTGACCTTCTGGTTAGCAGCCAAGTGACATAGGCACAGGCAAAGCCACCAATCTTTGACAGCATGCATGGTAAGAAGTCACAAAAAAAGAGACTCTTACTTTTTCTGAAACCACCAAATTGAGCTTCACATATCACCTGGCTTATGTAACTGTGGATGAGGAAACTAGCAATATTTAATAGTTATAGATATGTGGAAAAACAGTCAGGTGATTTACTTTATATTTCATTAAAAAAAAAAAAAAGCTAACAGATCTTGCCATCTCTTACTTCACAGTGTATTTTTATAATACTATCTTATATTGTAATATGTTTATATGTAAAAGATCTATTAGGTATCTGAAGAAAAGACATTTGGTTAACTTCTAGATCCACATAACAGGAATCTGATGTATTCAAATGATGTTAAAAAGATTTCCAAGTTGATTTTAATTCTCTCAAGATTTAAATATACACAAAAGGTACCTTCTGGGTTCAGTAAAGACCACAGATCCAAGGAGAAAGCATTTAAATAGGATATATCAACTAAGATAGGGGAAAAAAAAACCTCAAATATTAGCTGCTACTACAGTAAACACTGAGATTTAGTTAAACATGAGGGAGTTCAGGAATGGATAAAAAGCACCTATTGAGACCTTCCAGTTCTTTTCATCCATAATAAATAAGAAAATGTTACATTTTTCATACTCTAAATGATTACGCAAAGCATAAAATTACAAGATTATGTCAACAGTCCTAAATAAAACAACTTTAAAAAATGCTTCTAAATCTGAGATTAAAAATAATGCTCCAGAATCTAGGAAAAACAAACTCTTACCTCCCCTTTGCAGATAGCTATACCAAACTCAGCAAGAACCTCAATTTGACTTTCTTGGAGAACTATGTCCTATTCAACACAAAGCCTTACTACTCTTCCATCTCCCTTTACTTCACTCATTTTAGAAATTTATAGTACATAAGCTGATTTTTTTTTTCAATTAAGAACTCAGAATGAGAAAGAATATGCTTAAAATTACTAAAGACCATCCTATCCACAATTAGGAACAATAATACTTTCCTTATTGTTAGAAATCTCCATGGTAAATTGGTATTATCTTATCTTCTCCTTCCTAGGGTAAGAGCTGTGAGGTATACATGTTGTGAAGGAGGTCAGAGGGACAGAGGTCAGGAGGAGTCCAGAAAATCTGGATGGAACAACTAAAGTAGAGGTAACAACTTGATCAGGTGGCCAAAACAGAGGAGTTCATGGGTATTACATCTGAAAGAAATGCCAGGTGAATGCTTACTAAATTCACCATGCCATGTATTTAATGACTACAAAAGGAAAGGAATCAGAGAAAAGATTGGAAAGATGTCCCATCACCAAAGCAGGAAGAAAAATAAGATGGCTGAAAACTGACAATTTATAGGACAAAGTGAAAGTTTTGCAAAAAGATTACAGTGAAAGGAAATGAGAGAATAAAAGAATGACATTCATTGTGGATGAATGTAAGGGGAGTCTATGGGGGGGCAGGTAAACAAAGGTAGGAACTTTAGATTGGCAGGATTTGGGGTTTAACGGCAGCAATGCAGAGAAAGACCCAGGGTTACAGTACACGTAACATTAAATACAGTGCACAATGCAGCTATCTTGCCAAAGTAAGTATATCCAGTATTGGGTTGTATAAGCAGAGGAATCACATGTAAGCTATGAAGGTGGCTCTTCCTCTCTATTCAGCACCGGTGAGGCCACAGCTGGAGCACAGCATTCAGTTCTGGGCATCGAACCAGCTACAAGAGAGGGAAATTGTAGAGTTCAGAAAAGGGCAAATAAAATAATGAAAGGCTTGGAAAATAAGATCTCTTAAGTAGGGCCAGTGGTTTCATCAAAGCCCTTCCTGACATTATATAAGCTGATTTTGGAATGAAAATAAAAGGTTTCTTTTGCTTCAATGTCCTCCAATCCCTCCTACTTTCAGGAAGAGAGAAGAATTGAATTCTTCCCAGCTATGGCAAGGTAGAAACTAAAGTAAATAAATCATAAGGGCATATGCCACCAATTCCGCTAATGACTCAATAATTTTCTCAAAATTTGCCCCATTTCATACAATCAAAAAATAATCACCATGACAAAACCACTGCTCTAACAGAACTAACAATAAGTAGAACAGTATATAACAGGAAGAACAGAAATAAGGCATAACAGCTATATAAATGTGTTGTTTAGAAAACATTGGCACAATCAGTCTAAGATGTCACATGAGAAATACAGTCAAACTGCAGGGAAGACAGCTTAGTTATAATAGCAGGAAACAATGTTACAAGAAAAAACAAGCAGTGAAACAGATTTTCAAATGTAGTCAAACTGGCCATACTAGAAATGAATTACAGTTTATCTTAACCCTCTGCCAACTAAACATGATTAATTTGAGATTCCTATTACCCAAATTATTAAATAAAGAATACCTTTATTTGTGATGAAAAAAAAAAAAAAAGCCTTAAAAATAACATCTTTGTTCTCATAGGGAGACAGGGAACTTACACTAGAAATAAATCTCCTGTGACCGATTTTCTTATAAAAGTTTAAAAACAGTACCTCAGACTAAACCAGCAAGACTTTGCAAATGAGATCTTTCTTTTTTCTTTAAAGAGGAAGCTAAAGTTATTGCTTTATTTTAACTCTTATGACTAGGTTCATAATTCATCAATTGTAGCAACAAAACAAATAATACCCAGTTTATTTCTGTATTTTAAGAAAGACTCAAAACTTCTTTTATTGCCTGTATTTTCTTACTGTGAGCAC